ACTTTTTTGTTCAAAATCGTGTCAGCTACATTTTTTGTTTGAAACTTTTTTTTCCATGCACAGATTTCTGGGAAATCGATGTTTTCCGTTTTTTACCCCCTTTAGGGGGCAATTTCTGACGAAGCCCGGGGGTACAAGTGGTAAACTTTTTTGCATCTTTTTTGGAGACTACTAGTGAACATTCATACCAAATTTCAGCCAGGTCGGTCATTTTTAGAGGTTCAGTAGTATTTTTGCCTCTGACGACTGGACTACTATGGAATTTTAAAATTATACTATATAAACTTACCTTTTTAAAAAAAGGTAAAGAAAGCGCTAAAGCGTTGGTGAAACTGATAACTAATCACGTTTGCTGTTTAGTAGAACTAATGATACGTATCATTTGTATAAAAGATTTGATATCAACAATTGGCGCCAAGTTAAATTCCATGTAATTCGAACAAATTAGATTTTATCATTTTATTCCTCCCAAAGAAAAAATAATTTATTTAACTGTAATGATATGTATCATTTTCGTATAATTGATGATATCAACAAAATTGGCGCCAAGTTAAATTCATCAAAATTTTATCAAAATTTTATCAAAAAAATTTTATGTATTATTAAAATAAAAGATTTGATATCAAGAACTGGCGCCAAGTTAAATCCCACTTCTTTATACCATGCCAAATTAAATAAATAATAAATAATCTAATGGTATGTATTATTTGTACGAAAGATTTAATATCAACAACTGTGTCGCCAAGTTAAATTCTACTACCGGAATGAAAAGTAAAACTCAAGTAATACTATCTTTATTTATTATTTACTTAATCCACATAGTACTATCTTTAATTTTATACAATGAAACCCAAGTATACGTATACTTATTGAAGAATCTTCCTATTCCAATCCAAATGATTTAAATTCCTCTTAAATGAAATTATTATATTACAATTCATTCAAAGACATTTCCTCTTCCAACTAAAGTAGTGGTTATTTAATTCTCCTTCAAAATATTATACAAAACATCACAAACTTGCGTTATCTTGCTCAATTTAAGTGTTATCACAAAAATTAAAGAATTAACCGTTTAAAATGAAAAAATTTAATTTTTTACTTAATCCAAATGGTACTATCTTTAATTTTTATGCAATAAAACCTAAGTATACGTATACTTATTGAAGAATATTCCTATTCCAATCCAA